CTGCCCGCCCGCTTGGAATTAGGCTTTGATATACGGAAAGACAAGATGAGTTTAATTCGAGAAAAGAAAGGAAAAAAGACATAATAGAGACTGGACCCCTCCTCAGTCTCTCTGCCTGCTCTCATTTCCACCATTCTTGCTTTACGGCTGCCTACAAATGATACCTTAGGTAGACTACCTACCCGGGAAGTGACTCTCGTGCCTCATTCTCGAGTGCTCCCTCCTCTGCAGGCCTGCCCTGCCTTACCGCCCCTCCATCATTAAGCCCTCCCCGTTTCCATCCTTTCAGCCCCAAATTGCCCGGCCGGCATCCGTCGCCAGTAGTAAAGTAGGCTCGAATATGCGTGTAGGGGCATGTCCTGATCGCCTGCATCCGCACTGTGCAGGCCCCTTGCCGCGAGACACGGTGCGAGGACATTGGTTGACGGGAACCCTCTAGGTGAGGTGGTGCAACACCCTGTGCCTGTACAGTGGGAGAGTGGTGTCGCTGGTTAGCGCTCCAGTCCTCCCATGTAGTGGAGGTTGTCAGAGCCAGACCTGAGCCTGCCCGCCCGCCCTGGATCGGGTTGGGTCCCGTTTGGCTTGGCTCGTGGTCGACGTCGCCGCCGCAGACTGCGCTCCAACTGCCGAGATTTTCTTCCATCCTCTCCCATTCGCTTCTTGACCGATCTCTGTTACCGCCCTCCCACCCAGAATTTCCCCCCCAGCGAGAGAGGACAGGCGAACGGTCTCATCCTTCGCTTTTTCTTTCGTACCTCCGCTCCTTTTTTCTGGTTTTGGTTCTGGTTAGGCTCCTGTTTCTTTTCCTTTTCCTTACCGGCTCGACGCGGCGATGTTATGGACCCTGTTTGTGAAAATCCTCTTCGTCAGCTTCCTCATCGCTTGGTGGCTTAAACGACCTCAGGGCCGCTTCTACAAAGCCTTACTCTACGCCGCCTCAGCCGCCGTATTCTATCTCGTCGCCCCCCTCTACGCCTCTCTCTGCCTTGCCTGGTCCGTCCACTACACCCGCGAGAGCATCCGGTACTGGAGTCTAGATGAGTTGCTTCTTCGACATGCCAGCATGTTGGTGACACTCGCCGCAGTCATTTGGTAAGTTGCTCCGCCCTGCCTTGCACATGCGATCCTACTGCCACCTCCCTGCCGCCTGTCTTCCTTGCGCCCATGCGACTGACACGTCCCCGTCTAGGCTGCTTCACCGTGCCTGGCAGACCCTCTGGAAGCCCACCACCGACTTGATTAGCATTCTTGGAGTCGACGTTCCCGAAGCCCCCGATGTATCCCTGGCCGGTATTAAGAACGACGCCGCTACCCTCAACTGGACGCGCCCCTCTCACAACCGGCCTGTACAAAAGTTTCTGATACAGGTCAATGGTGTCAATGGTTAGTCCGGCCAACGAGGCCTGTCGTGCGCTGTGTTGTGGGGTTCTGACAAAGTGCTGCAGTTGGCGAATCGAGATCTGAGGAAACGGCGATTACTGTAACCGGCCTCAGGCCCAATCATTGCTACAACATTCGCGTCATCGCGGTCGGTCCGAACAACTTCCAAGCCGGGAGCCAAGTCATACGATTACGCACATATCGATCCGATGGACGGCCAGAGCTAGGAAACTCCCGTCTGCCCGACAGCTTTCAGGACCAAGAACCCCGATCCAGTCATTCCCAGTGCACTGAAGAGAATGGCGGACGCAGTCAGGTTCCTACCATCGAGGCGGCGCCCTCCCTCGAACCCGGATCGGCCACCGCACGAGAACCCGCAACCAGTGCCGGCCAGAGACGCAACACCGTCAACCGACGACACTCCCCATCTATAGCGAGCCAGGAACAGCCAACTATCAAAGATCTGTCGGGCGACCATCCCGAGGCGTCACTGAAGGATTTGGCCGACACTCTCGAAAAGCAACGGAAGGAGATTGACGATACAGCTGCACTGCACACGACCGAGGAGACCGAGTTCAGGCAACTTGAACAGCGTCTCAAGAAAGAGAGGGATGAGAAGAAGAGAGTACAAAAGGAGAAGGATGATGCCACCGCACAGCTCAAGCAGAAGGTCAAGGCTAGTTACGAACAAATGCGCCAAGCCAGCAAGGACAAGGCGAAGAAGGAGAATCAACTCAGGGAGAAGCAAGATAAGCTCAAGAAGGTCCGCGACAACATCGACAAGTGGACTACCGATATCGAGAACATGCGCAAGACGCGCGCGGGTTTTGCGGCCGAAAAGGAAAACCTGGAGAAAGACCGCGATCTCAAAGTGAAAACTCTGATCGAAGAGAACGCGGCTCTCCAAGAGGAGTTTGATCAGCTTGAGGCCGAGTACAAAGAAAAGAGGCAACAACTGAAGGAACTCGAAGACGAACGCAAGAAACTACCCGGTGGAGAAGAAGACGATACCTGGCGAGAAGACGACCGGAAGATGAAAAGGGACTTCGAGACCAAGCGGAGAGAGCTCCAGAGTCAACTTATCATGGAGAACAGGAAAGCTCAGCAACTCGACGGGCACTTGCACATGCTAAACGCTCAAATGTATGCTGCAACTCAGCAAGGCATCAATTTCTTCAACCAAGCGAATTCCTCCGGCGTCGACTTTGAACAGAACGTACCGGTACAGATCAAGCGAAGAAGCCGAACCGGAAATTCAATGTTGAACGCGGCCGTTCCGTCTCCGACTGGACTTTACTCCGCTTCGGATTCTCCGTATGGCCCTCCAAGCGGTTTCGGGAGTCGTTCGGGGTACGGTCAGTTCGGGGACATGCAGGCCAACGATGGATTACCAACCGAACAGTTTCTTGAAGCAGACATGCGAGCCCTCACTGCGGGCGCTCCGTTGAGCCCCACAGCCCAGATGCTGCTGCCATCCGGAATTTTAGGCGACGACTTCGATGATGAGCCTCATAGCCCCAACTCGTTTTCTCGAAGGAGTCCTTTCGCACCAGATCAGCACAACGATGCTCATTCGCCAGCGCCGTCCGGCAATTCCAAAAGTGCACATTCTAGTCCTCCGGGGTCATCTCACCAGCAGAGCTTCCCTCCTTTGTCCTCAGATATCGCCGACCACGCATCCCTTAAAGATGTGGCTGCTTCTTCGGGCGCACAGCCGTCGCCGTCAGGGCACCGGCTTGGAAACCTGTTCGCGTCTTTCCAACGTAACAGAGGCGGGAAGAGTGGCGAGGAAGGCGGCCCACTTCTTGGTAGTCTGAAGCATGGTCAAAGCCAATCTTTCCCACGGCAAACCGACGATTCAGAGCCATCAAACAGACGCCGGACTAGTTTCTCATCGTACACGCAGAATCGGAATTCTGCTGGACCAGAGACTCTTGAAGGAAGCACATCATCGCTCGTACCCAAAGGTATGCTATCGTCGGCTAGGCGTCTCGTGCCTTTTGGCGGTGTCTTTGCGGATCGCGATCCAAGCAGCCCGAGACCTGCTTCCATGGCATCGGCAGATATGCCACGCCCATCCACAGATAGCGGACCCTCTATCTGGGGTCATCCGGGAGATAAGAGTCGCTTCTGGACAGACAATAGTATGTGGACTTCTCGGAACCCGTCTAGGCGACCTTCGATCCACGGCTCCCCTGCGGCTTTGAAGACAACCTTGGCGTCGGAACAAGATGAGATTCTCCGCGACGAGGTGCCGAAAGACCCCAGTCAAGTCGGTGTCATCGGAAGCAGACCACCAGGCAATAAATTGACTGCAGACGCTAGAACTTTGAGTGGGCGTCTCAATCCTGCAGCACCGACTTTTATCGGAGGTTTATTCGGTTGGAAGGAGAAGGACGGCGACCCGAGCAAAGACAAGGACAAACCCAAATCCAAGGATAAGTCCAAGGACAAGGGCAAGGACACGAAGGAAAAAGCGAAGGGCAGAGATGCTTCCGCTCCCAGCCTCGACTTGCCCCAAGGTTACGATTCTTCTCCGAATGAGTCCAGAAAGTCTCGCGATGCCTTCTCCATCCACACGCAAACGTCCGTCTCAGAATCTCGAGAGTCTTTGACCTTGGATCGAGCGTTATCGAGCACGCTTTCTGACCCCAACTCCATCGCCAAAGATCAGGAAAATGTTGTCCGCAAGCTCTTTAGGAAAGGAAGCTCCAGCAAGTTTAGTCTGTCTTCTCGGCTGAGTAAGGAATCCGGGCTCTTTAAGAAGGGCCCCGGAAGCACCACGAACTCGGACAAGAATATGTCAGCGGAGAGATCTAGCTTCGGCGACATTGACGACTACGGTGAGGAGGGTCTGCTCGGTCGCAGCTATGAAAGCGTCTCCGGCAGCCCCTCCTTTGGCCCGTCCAAGTCCAAGGAGTCGAAGGAAAGCAGAATGACGGGCTGGAGCAGCAAGTTTTCCATGAAGAAGAAGGGCAAGGACAATAAGGAAACCCCCGAGTCATCACACCGGGCCCTCGATAGCGATGTTGATGAAGAAAAGAAGGACATTTGAGTCCCAGCGTCAATTACCAGGCAGTCTTAGCTACGTAGTGCTCTTCGACAAAAAGAAATAAAAGCAAAAACTCCGCGATTCCATTTTACCTCATTGTCTCTTGCTGCACTTGTTATGAAGAGCTCCGCGGCATGGTGCGGTATAATCTCAATGAAAAAGAAACACAGCATTACGCAACAAAATTCGAGAAACTAATATCGTTGTCAATATACTATGTCTTTTCGTCTTGTTGCTTGTAGTTCTTCACAGCCGTGTTGGAAGGGAAGGCGGTGAGGCTCCTCCGGCGGCAAAAAGTCTCAATTAGCAAGCTCCGTCCGAATGCACGGGCACCTCCATCCGAGAGCTCTGTCGCTCTGGATTTACCCACCTTCGACGACGGGCCACTATCGAACCACCCGCGCAAACCCAAACGCCCGCCAACGACGAGAGAAACGGCAACCGATCGAAGGGCGAACACGCACAAGCACGACCTGCGGCGTCGTTTTCGAGCAACCGATACAAAAAGCAGGACCACCAGTGGGTGTCGAAGGCAGATCTTCCCCCGGGACATTCGTTGATGGCCGCGATGGCGGCTCCGAACCCGACCGGCGGCGCCGGCGAGGGCCTGCCGATGCCCTCGCGCAACCCGCTCCCCTTATCGGCATCCCAGGAGGCGCAGATCAGAGACATCTACCACCAGCGTGTACGCAGCGCCTGTGCGCCCGAGATCAAGGGTAACGTTCCCCCCGTCTCCTCCACCAACCCCTCGTTCCCACATCAGCCTACCTAGGCGGAGGAACTACAGCGGTAACACCTGGGCCAGTCACTTCTGGCAGTACAGTAGAGGAGGCTAGCTAATACATTGTGCCCGCAAACAGCATTCGCAGATTGCGCTCTCAACAGGACATTCACCGTGTCCTTCGTCTGCAGCGACCAGCTGCGCGCGATGAACGGGTGCATGAAGGCGCACGCCACGCCACAGAACCACGACGCCGCGCGAGAGGAGTGGTTCGCCAAAAGGCTCGAGAGGCAGCGCGAGCGCGAGCGCAAGGCCGTCAAGAAGTCACAGCAGGAGGACTTCATCCGCGAGTGGTGGGGTCTGCCCGAGAAGGATGCCGAGACGAGGAGGAAGGAGGAGGAGAAGATGAGGATGGCCGAGAGGGTTGGCGGGTATGCTGCTCGGGACCGGAAGCGGTGGGAGGAAGAGCAGGCGGCAGCGGCGGCGGCGGCGGCTGCGAAGAGGTGAAGAGGAGGACAAGGACGAGTGGGAGAGGATGAATGCATCGTAAGCCCGAGAGGATAAGGGTATTGGAAAAGGGGGTCGGCGCGGGGCCGGCCGAAGAGAGTTCAGATGCATATATGTTGGGCGTTCCGGACTCGTGGCTTGGGACACCCTGCTCTAACGGCGCAGACATTTCGGCGTGTGTAAATATATCAACACCATGTAGACTACAAATCACCAAAAAGGGGGCCGAAGCCGAAGGACGGCGGTCATGATCATCGAACATTTGACAAGGTCTTCTTCTGAGAAGACCTGCAACTTTTCTATTCAGTGACATCCGCATTCCGAGTCTAATCTTTTTTCTATGTAGCTTTCAAATCCCATAGGTCTTGTTGACTCTTTTGTGCCCTTGCAATCGTAAGATTCCTCCCTATAAACGCCAGAGTCCATTTCAGAAACACAGATACGACTTGATCGGAGCCCACTAGGCCTTGTTCTCCAGGGACTCGGCGGGAAGAGTGGCAACCTTCTCCTCGAAGAGCTTGGTAGCGCGGACCCAGACCGGGTTGGAGCGCCAGTTCTTGAGTTCCAGGAGAGTAGGCAGCAGGTCATTGCTGAAGGCCTCGGAAGCCTCACGGGGCAGCAGACTAGGCAGGTGGTCGATGCTGATGACGCTCAGGGGCGGGTTGTCGTAGCCCTCAACGGGGACCGTAGGCTTGTCGAACGTAGTGGCGACGGTGTAGATGGGGACTAAAACATTTCACTTAGTACGAGCTGAGAGTGGCTCACGAGATTGCGACTTACTAGGGTTGTGGGGGTTGGTGGTATCAGCACTGCGCCAAAACGGTTAGCATGCGGTCATGAGGATAGAAGGAGTCGTGGTGAACAAACCTAACGTCGCAAACAACGCTCAGCTTGCGACCAGGAGCCTTCAGAGACTCGTGGTTGACGAAGTGGCCAACGGGCTGGTTGAGGTAGATGCAGTTGACGAAGATGTCAGACTCAACAATCTCCGGGAAGGTCTTTCCCTTGCGCTCAGGAGCGGTTGTCTCCTGGATATCCCACTTCAAGATATCTGCGATACCAGCCTTCTCGGCCATGGCAACTGCGCCACGTCCGCAACGGCCAAGGGCTCCGATGACCATGACACGCGGGGTGTAGCCTGCCTTGGCAACACCCTCAGCCAGCGCCTTCTTCACGTCTGCGATCAGAGCATCCTCGTTGGGGTAGCTCTCGACGCTGGGGTAGGGCTCGCCAGGGTGAGTGAGCTGCCAGGCCCAGTTTGAGATCGCAAGCGCGGCACCTGCGAAACCAGCGTGGACTGATTATAGAGTTAGGACTGTGATGGAGTAAGGAAATGTTCAGCAGCTGAGAATTACTCACAGCCAAAAGCTGCCACCCGGCGACCGGAGTCATCGGCCAAGAATTCCAAGTCGAGGAGTGTGCCGTTTCCGCGAGGGTAACGGGACAGGGCCTCAGCCCAGCCACCTTGCCTAATACATTGTCAGTCACAGAGACACGGGACCTTTATTCAGTGCTGACGGTATCGTACTGCTTGTAGCAATGCTGTCACTAGTTAGCGCGATTCAAAAGTGTACAATCCAGGGCTGCATACTTGGAAGTGAATGTAGGTGTGGCCAAGAGGGCTCGTTCCCTCCTCAATCTCCTTCAATCCCAGAACGAAGTATCTTCCGCCGTCAGGGGAGGAGGCAGTCGGGACATCCTTCCATGAGCCGGTCTCGACAAGCTTAGCGCCTGCCTCCTCGAATTCCTCATCGCGGAAGAACCTTTGGTACTCCTTCTGCTGGGGGTTCTTCTCGACGTGAATGTCGTATCCAGCCTTGATGAGGGCTCGGGTCGTGCTCGGGGTGAGGGCACTGCGGTGCTCCAACCACTTAAGAGTCGTTAGCAATTACACTCTCGAGGTCACTTCGAGGGGCAGCCCAAAGCAATTGCGACAAGAGTAGACAAACCTTGGTCTCGGCGCGAAGATGGATGATAGGGGCAGACATTGTCGCAGTTTTCGCAAAGAAAAGAATTGACCTGGATTGACTCAATTGCGCAAGTTTATGTGTCGAGGGCAAATATCGCGACGTCGAGGAAGGTGTTGGGAAGAGGAGCTTGAAGTATGATGATGGTGGGGTAGTTATGAGTCTACGGATGGCAAGGTAAAACATCCCACCTCTGACTCTTACAGGGAGTTACAGTAGGGGTTCGTACACCGCCTTCGGAGCGCGGGGTACCTTACCTTACAATGAGATGGCAGTGACTCAAAGTTTTTGCCCTGGCCTCAGCTCCCTCCATCCCGTCAACCCAAAAAAAAATCCTTTTCCCAGCTGCTGCCGGTGATTTATCCGCCAAATCAAGCATGTCCGCTCATGCCAACCGGCATGTCATGCAGGTACCGAGCCTGCAGCCACCAAACGGTCGTCCGAACCAGTCTATTCTCAAAATTTGTCGCCGATGATTGTGGCCGATGTCGCAACAATCTCTACTATGGTGCCAGGGTCCACAGCATGATCACCTTATCGACGGGACATTTTAGGTTGGCATCCCAGCCAACAGCAAACTGCCAATCACGATCGCGACATAATCAATTGCGCTGCTACAGACGCGCTCTGGGTTTTTGATCTTGAAGCAACCCGAGGGCGCCCTCGGCCATGCCCCAGGACAACTCGAATCCTCTTCCACCAAGCCCATATGCGTGGATGATGGTCCGGCCATCACTTGCATCCTCTCGCTCAAGTCTCAAGCCTCCTCTGCGCGTAGGTCGACGGCCAACAACGTCTTTGAGAACGCGATATTCGCCGCTGTCACCCAGAATGGCAGGGTAGGTGGCAGCAAAGGTCTTCAGGATCTGTTCCCGCAATTCTAGCGATGGCTCAACGTCCCAATTGTCTGGCTCCTTGGTGCCTCCAACTATGGTACCGCCGTCAAAGTTTCGAGGCACACAAAATGTCCAAGATCCATCCGCATTCTGTCGCGTCACTGTTGCCGGGCTGAAGTTGGCCACTGCACAAGTTTGCCCTGGGAATGTTTTAGAGGACTCTTTCTGCGGAGAAGTCAAGGAATCACAAACCTCTAGTGATGAACGAGTTCTTGTCACCAAATCCGAAGCCAGAGCAATTGACGACTGTCCGTGCGTCTGACAGCTCCTTGATACCAAAGACCTCAAGAGGGTCGCTGAGCTCTTTGCGAATCACCTTGCCTCCGTTCCATGCGAACTTACGCAAGAGGAACGAGCAGTAAATCATGGGGTTGACACACCATGTCTTATACTCGCAACCCCACTTCACCTTGTCATCGGGAAACTCGCTGGGACTCAGACGCCTGAACTCGACCAACCCAAGGCTTTTGGCTTTCTCCTCCGTGAGCGCCTTATATTGCTCTGGAGGATCCTCGAGGTACTCGATACCGGGCATGAAAGTGATGCCCGCCTCGGGATTGCTTTTGAAGAGCGACTCCATATGCCGGAATGTTCTCAGAGCCATGGCGTGATCACGCTCGTCCATCTTGTTAGCCGGTATCACCCATCGATTGTGCGCCCCGCCCCATTGCGATGTGTAGTTGACCGAAGCCTTGGCATCAATGGTCTCGAATGGGCTCGGAAAGTCCCTGGCTACAATCGTGACCTGGTTTCCTTCTTGCTGGAGTCTTACGGCGGTGCTCAGACCGATCACGCCCGCGCTGGATCATGTTAGCTGCTGCACACTGACAGGAGGGGCTGTGTGGGGTGATTACCCGATGACTACGATCTGCGACATAATTCCGGTAATATAATCTCAATGTTGCTGTGTCTAGGCTCAAATATCACGAAACCTCCATGGACTTGACCCAATATATGGGTTTTATCCAATCGTCGTTGAGTCAAAGGTATTACTGAAGCCAACGCGATCCTCAACTTAGCGGTGGTCCGGTCTCCACCTTTGGCTCCAACAACGCCGACCTCGGGAGTTGTTCCCGGGGGTGCCCGGTCTGGCGAGCGTTCGGCCGAGACTGGGGGTTCCGGTCAACGGGACTCTGACCCGAAGGCCGCACCGACGCCGGCTGATACTACCGGTCAATACATACTTTGGTCGAAGATGGTCCTCATTTGCACCGGACTATAGAGTTTACCCTCAGTCCGCAGATGGGGTCGTTGGTCAGGCATTCTTTGTACTCAAGTTCTGTCGAAAGCACCTCAGACTTGCAACGGACTTGATCTTGCGACTTAACTAGAAGCAGCGCCGAAACATGAAGCTTTCTACATCAGCAGACTCTCGATCTCTTGACACTAGATATTGAGCCTTTTCCAAGGGATTATGGCCCGATTTGCTTTTTTCGAAGCTACCTGGAACGGAGACCTGCATGCCGACCGCATTTGGCCTGGCCCTGCGCAGAGACGCAGCCAGACCCTGGCGAGGTGCTCAATCAGCCGGCCACATTTCGTTCCTGCGTCGCATTTTCACATCGGCGCCCAAGGGATGTGCAGGTCGGCATCTCACTAGCCAAGGCGGTCAGAGTCGAAGAAGTTGCACCAATTTTGGGGTCTTGACCAATCGCACAATGCTCGCGTTCAACCAACCCCGCGCGCCTGTCTCTCAACCCCCTGGTCTCGGCGGCTAGGACGCAGTGTGATGGCCCGGTTGATTGGCCCAGCCCGCATCTCGCAATCTATTTTCGTCTGGCAACTCGACCACCCTCCTGCCCATCCCCTCCATCTTGGCTCTCACCACTCACCGCGGCCCGTCAGACAAGCCAGCGCTTACCAGGTCTGCCGTGGGCGACCTGCCGTAGTTGAACCCAGTATGCTCCGTAGTGCCGGCGCTTTAATGCCAGCAGAGTATATACTCTCGTGGTTCTGTTGGCAATCGTATGTTGACATGCCTTTTTCCCCTTTCATCTGGTTATCTTGACCAGTGCCGCAATAACAAACCGACGTTCTGGTTGTTCTCAGTTGCCGGCTTGTTGGGACCATGCATCGGTAGCAGTTGGACTACCTATTATTCATTCCATTGTGGCATCCCCCCTTTACTTGTGAAGAGCCTGGAAAGCATCAACCAAAGGGGAATCCCAACGTTCGATTCGAGAAGCAACACAGCCCATCATGTCGGCTCAGCCACCCTCTGGAGGGTACTCTCTCTTCCCGAACCCCAACACCAAGCCCCCAACGGTACGGAGACCGGCATCTCGGACTCGAACATCAGAGTCTCGCGAGCGCTCGCGGACCCGGGCTGTGTCTCCGGAAACCATCGACTCGGTAACCCCACCCCGCCATGGAAGACAGACGCCGCAGCAAAGGATGCAGTCGCCAGTTGAGCGATCGCAAACACCGCAAGAAATCCGTCGACCCCAGCCCAGTGAGCAGCACGCCTCACCAATCAACCGCGAGTTGCCGCCACTGCCTTCAGAGGCAGTTTCGCCTGTCCAAAGACCTGCTCCCACTGCTGAAGTACCGCCTCGGTCAGACACTGCCTTCTCTCAGGCGCAAACACTAGCACGGAGCAACAGCCATCGCTCTCGCAGCTCAATAGCAAAGCTTCCCCTGCCTGGAGAGCCGTCATCGTCACAAGAGCCTGCTGCTCTGCGGTCCATCTTTCCCCAGTATAACCCCGAAGTGCCGCTCAATCAACAGGAGTACTTCCCGACTCAGACCAGTCCAACTCATATTCCCAGGGCTGTCATTAATCGGACAACGTGGTACCCAGAACGAGAAGAGGATGGCCAAGAGACTCAGCACAGAAGCCCGGTGAGAAGTCCGATGAGTGGCGGTTCAGCGCCAAGATGGCCCAGAAGGAGGATCGAACCTCCCATCATTCCCAACGTTTCGACAAATGAGCAAATGAAGAACATGTGGAAGGTCACCAACGGCTGGAAAGCCTCCCCTTCTGAAGGCAGAGTGTACTGCATGAAGCTATCCCAGGAAAAGGATGCTCCGGTCTACACCTTGTCCTCGACATCTCAGCCATTCTACAACCTCAGGCTCGACCCTACATCAGCATCCGCATACGTTACTCTCAGTCGGCACGACCCTAATAAGGTCTACAAGGCCCCGAGCCCAACGGCAGGCTCTTCGGCCAGTAGCATCCTCAGCGGCGTCGTCGGCAACAAGGACAACGGCAAAGGCACTGAGAGCAAGCACTGGCAAGAGGTCCTCACCACCACTCTCGAAGAAGAATCCCGCAAGCATCCTCCAAATGACGGCCTGGTTGCCCTTCTCTATCCGCAAGCAGCGGCCAAGATGGCCCTGGACAGGCCAGACGACATGACCGCCATCGTCACCGCGGAAACGGAGTGCGCACGGCTCGTCTGGGACGACGACTCCAGCTCGCACTTCGTCGTCCACCCAGCGTTGGCCACGCCCTTCTGCGTCACCATTGAGCGCTCACCCGCCTGGAGCCGGGTCGAGTACACCTTGGAGCATCACGAGTCGCCTCAGCACCTCGCCAAGCTGACCCGTGACGGCACGGGCGCTGGGTTCCTCGAGGTTGATACGGCCATCGCCTCCAAGATTGAGAGCTTCTTCATCGTCGACGTCGCCATCACGGCGCTGCTGCTGGTTGCGGCAAGCGACGAGAAGAACTCAAAGGTCGAGACTTTCGAGCCTCCTCCCGCACCGCGCGAGCCTGCTGGCGGCGAGCGCCGGCTTAGCAAGCGGGAGGAGAAGAAGCGTGCGGCCGCCGCGCGCAGGGGCAAGATGGAGGAGTTTGAGATCGACGTCGAGAGCCAGGACAGCAGCCTTGGCAGCTTCGCGAAGCTGGAACAAGTCGGAAAAGAGACGCGCGACAGGATGCCGTGGCCGTTGAGGGCGCTGTTCAAAGTCTTGTCCGCTCTATTCAAGTGCTTCGTGTGGTTCCTGACGATTGGCTTCAAGGCGCTTGCTGCCATCGTCAAGGGGTTGGCGAGGTGTGTTGGCGTGAAGTCGAAATGATGACGGGAAAAAAAAGCATGAGTTTGCATTGAATGCAATAATGAGATACCACTTTGTTGATCCGGGTTCCTTTTTTCTAGTATTTCTTTGGGGCCGCATGGTGTTGGGAATAATTGGGCTTTTTATGAGACCTTGTCCTGGACGAGGACAGGAGCGATGAATTTCTTTTCTTGTACATCTAGATCTATACTCCGGGGCCTGGGTATCGCATGACGACTTTCTGAGCGTGGCTTCTCACGCCGCTCAGATATTAGGATGAATGAACACGAAAAAACACCATGAAACTTTTGTTCGCCGACCGCAAATTTGACAGAAACATGCATCCCGTGTTCACCTCTTCCGCGTCCGAACCATAATCTTCTTGCCCTTCTTCGTCACACCGCCCGAGGTCGCCGTCTTGGCCATCTTCGCCCGCTGTATTTCGAGGTGATCCTCTGTCTTCGCCAAGATCTTGAGTTTCTTCTTCGCGTTTTGGAGCTGCAACCGTAATAATTGCAGCTTCTTCTCTTTTTTGCGTTGCGCCTCCTCCTCGGCGTTGTCTTCATCGTCGAATCCCTCGAACTCGTCCTCGTCATCGTCGTCCAGCTCCATTGCCTCCTTATCGATAGCCTGTTCCCTCTCCTCGGTGCTTTCGGCAAAAACAATCTTTCTAGGTTTTGCGGAACTCGTCTCGTCGTCGTCGCTATCGTCGTTCGTGGTGGTTGCGTTGATGCCGCCACTGAGCACGATCTGCTCCTCCAGGCGCTTCACCTCCTTGGAGATCACGTTGCGCATGGTGCGGATGTAGCCGACATCCTGCGTCTTTAGCAGACGCACCGTGTCCACATCCATGGCCTTGTTGCCGCGGTCACCCGCGATGGTGCCAGACCATTTCTTGCCGTCCTTGAGGCGCGAGCCTGGGCCGGAGCGGCTGAGCATGCCAAAGTAGAACTCATCTTCGTTGCGTTCAGAGGCTTTTTGGCGCAGGTGCTTGATTGTCTCCTTCTTCTTGTTGTAGTCCTTGGCACGGAGGGAGTAATCCTGCAATTCGGAAAAATAGTCAGTAACGGACTTTGACGGGCGCGCATCGTGAGGCCATGTTTAACGAACCTTGTGTTTTTCGAGGAGACCAAATCTTTGGCGCTCCAAAGGTTGAGCACGCTCCCTGTGGGAGCGCCTCTGTACGGCATTTCGCATCGACGACATGGTTCTGTTGTTTTGGACGCAAGACCACCGCTCGTGATCTGGTTGCTGGGAGGCGTGAATAGAAGCCGACGATGGTTAGCGCTTCTGGGAGGTGGGATGCGGCAGAAATTTGAAAAATTTAGGCGGTGAAACAAGCTCCAGCCACATCACTCTGTCAGTGTGGCGCTGTTCCCGCTTTCACTGTCCGTCCCTCGGCCGACAAACTCGGGCCGTGTTGTGGGGCTTTCTGCAGCGGACCACCGTGCCCAACCTGCACCCCCGGGCCGTTGTCAGCCACTCTCCCCACTTGTGGCCGCTACGTAAGTGTGCCGTGCAGCCCGTCAACTAGGTTCAGTCAGCTCTCAACCCTTGAAACATGTCAGGTACCATGAAACGACACGCTATCGCGGCTCGAGCCATCAACCCAGTCAGGTGCCATCTTCCAGAAGACGACTCATGACAGCTGCGGTGTTGTCATGTCAGTACATGGGCCCTGGGGAGATGGAATGGCATCTACGTATCCGACATGGCGAACCATTGAACGATTCATCGCGGACAAGGGTATCTTCTCCACGCAGATGGATCGTGATGTGCAACCCACGTTGCATCCGCAACCGCCCGCATCTGTGATCCTCCGTCATGCTGGATGAAGATCTAAATTCTCAGCTCATCTGCATGTTTTCAGCAAATCCCATATTCCCCATCCCACCCACGATCCTGGGCCAAGCGGCATCCAAGCCACCGCCGAGCGCGTCCAATCGCGAGGTCATCGGCAGCGCATCCACGGCCACGTCCTGTAAGTCCGGGGGATCTCCCCAGCACGGACAGCACATGGTCAGCGCCAACGAACCATGGGTCTCCCTTCGTGTTTCACGGAGGACACACACCACAGCAGCAGAGCTTCGAGACGTCAAACGCCGCAAATGGCAAAAGACCTGCACCACGGGCTTCGCGCGGCTGCTGTCCGATGACGAGAGACTCGGAGAAGGGCTGACCTTTCTTTTACAAAACCACCCGAGCTGGCCTGTTTCCTCTTGTCTCTTGCAGCTTTCATGTTTCCGTGTTTGTTTCGCTTCCACGTCTAAGTCCGTTTTATTTCATCCAAAATGGTTGCGAAATTTCATTTACGGAATTCTCCTCCGACATATCGGGTGCTTGCCTTGTTTGTCATACTCGTTTTTGTCAGTCTTCTTTTTTTGAAGGAGGAAGTCGAGGAGCCGACGATACCACGCAGTAGTTTCCCATACAGCGCGAGCAGCTATGATTGGTCTACACACCCCCAGAAGCATCCAGTGCCAGACGCTGAGATGGCACGCTTACCCTCAGAAGAGCCACTCGAGCTCCCCAGAATCCAGTTCGAATTTGCGGCGGAACGTTCAGACAGCTTGAAGAGGGACCTCGGCCTCATGAGTTCTCGCCGACATGAGGTCAGGAATGCTTTCAAGAAGAGTTGGCAGTCTTATGTGAGACATGCCTGGGGATACGATGAGCTGCAACCATTATCACTGAGAGGAAGGAATCGGTATAACGGATGGGGCGCTACGCTGGTCGATTCTCTCGATACGCTGTGGCTGATGGGCCTACACGACGACTTCAATGATGCTGTTCAGTATGTGGGCGCTATCGATTGGAACAACTCTACGGACCCAAGATGTAACCTTCTTGAGACGAACATTCGCTATCTCGGAGGCCTGCTATCTGCATACGATTTGAGCGACGAGCCAGTACTTCTCAACAAGGCTATTGAGCTGGCGAACATGCTCTACGCCGCCTTTGATACCCCGAATCGATTCCCGCCTTATACGTTCAACTTTGCGGACCTCAGAGCCGGAAAGGTCCTACCAGATCCTTATCAGAGCGCTGCATCGATAGGCAGTCTGTCACTAGAATTCACAAGATTGGCTCAAATCACGGGAGAGCACAAGTTCTACGACGCAATCGAACGTATCAAGACGGCTTTCGACCAGATCCAGAATGAGACATTGCTACCAGGACTGTGGCCCAACTTCATCAATGTTCGTGATGATTTCCAGACCCCGAACAACATTTTCCGTCTAGGCGGAGATGGAGATTCGCTTTACGAGTATCTGCCGAAGATGCACGTTCTTCTCGGCGGTCTCGACCCGGCTTATGAGAGGATGTACAGAAGCGCTGCGAAGGCGGCCAAGGCTCAGCTCTTGTTCCGCCCGATGACGCCCAGGATGGACGATGTTCTCTTGCTTGGAACCGCCATTGTGAACGAGAAGCTCCTGAAGATCGACCAAATCGCCGAACTCGAACACCTTTCCTGCTTTGCTGGCGGAATGTTTGCCATGGCTGGCAAGCTTTTCGAGAGCCCGGAAGACGTCGAGGTTGGCGATAGGCTGACCAGGGGCTGTGTGTGGGCTTACAGGTCTTTCAAGAGTGGTATCATGCCCGAGAAGTCACAGATCGTCAAGTGCGACACGATTGAAGGATGCCCATGGGATGAACAAAAGTGGGCGGCCCAGAGCAGCCGTCATTCTCCTAGGGGTTTCTCGAGGATCGACAATCCCCGCTACAATCTGCGCCCCGAGGCCATCGAAAGCCTCTTCATTCTTTACAGAGTGACTGGACGAGAGAATCTGTTGGACATGGCATGGGATATGTTCCAGGCCATCCAGAAAGCGACAGCGACCGACGACGCTCACGCTGTTGTGGCTGACGTCACTTACTCGCAATCACGACAAGAGGACAGTATGGAGAGTTTCTTCTTTGCTGAAACCCTGAAGTACTTCTACCTCATCTTTTCGGATCCCGAGATGATCAACTTGGATGAATGGGTGTTCAACACACAGGCTCATCCTCTCAAGCGACCTACGGCGTCTTGGAGCGAAGCCTGATTTACACGAAAGAAGCGATGATTATGATGTTCACTAATATTAATAAGACGTGGCACTCCTGGGCGCCGCTCAAACACATATGTTCAGGCCATTCAATTTTCCAGATGATGGTAAAGATATCTTGAGCATTCGATACCCCTCAGGTTCACAACGACAGACTCTATCACTGTCTAGCTGTGTTAGCCCATTCTCTTCCTCCTAGTCCATCTCGTTTGCGGTTATAACTTTGCGTCTGGACCGCCTCGAGGAGCTGTATCAGCTATCACCTGACTATCACCTGACTCCAAGGGTCTGCGTACGGCCCAATCCCGCTCGAGCCCTGGATCCACACAGAGAGCATCTTCGCCGAGCCTGACAATAAGATCGTCAGTCTCTATAGCATCATCATGGATATAGGGACTTTGTACACACCGTTGGATTGGGTTTCGCCTCGCTCTCTACAGCTTCCGGGAGCTTCGTTCGCAGATGCCACGGGTCGGTTCTCGGGCTGCCGGGGCATGACTCCGAGGAAGGGGTTGACGGACAGAATTGGCCTTAGGCCAGACTTTTCATTTGAAATTGTTTGCCTTCAATCATGTAGTCATGAATGAACAAGTATGGTTTATTGGAGCGCATTTTTTATACAACATTTCTAACAGCAGAGCGTGCTACTGCCCCTTATTCTGTGCCGCCATCGTCCTCAACTACCGATTTTGCTCGTACGCCTCAGTGTCCATCACAGAGAAGGCTACCATATTTTCTTCTTTCGTGGGCAAAAGTCGAGATCGCCTGATTTCCCGATTTCGTGTGCCTCAGGGACATGGAGACCAAAAAGGTTGTGGTTCGGTTCGGTGTCTGCAGGAGAGGCTGGTCCAGCAGGTCATATGATCATGATTGAGGAAATCTTTGGCGGCTGATTGGTTCGCTGGGATTTTGACGGCAATCTGAATCGAAGACATTTTAATGAAGCCTGCCTTAGTGGATAAGATCGTGCATATAGCGGTTTCTTTTACCTGTCAAAAACGTCTTCCGACAGACCCTGGACCTTTTGGGCTAACAACATGCATATGCGAATGTGACTTTTGCAAATTACACGACCATTCTCCTGCGTCCATGCGACTTGTGAAGGGACAGTTTTCGGGAAATGAGAGCTGGCCACTCCTTCGAGGTTCGAGGTTGGCGACGGAGTGTCGTTGGAATACGTTTTGGGACGGATCTCGCGGATTGGTCTGATGGAGAAGTACATGGGAAGCCAGGGCCACGAAAGGCGGCATAGGTTTAAAACACTTTTGATGTCTCATGGTTAACAGCAGTCAAGATCGCTGCGATCAAGGCGAATTGAATGCTTATAATCGTGAAGAGCAGCGAGACCTCAAGTGATTGAAGAACTCCAGTCAAGCAAGAAAAGACTAGCCAAGTTGACAGCTTGACATCCTAGGAACAAATTCTGAGGTTCTTTCTGCCTCTGAGAGGCTAGGTAAGTGCTTGCAAGTTTCTTAGCATCCTCGTGAAGTAACCCGGTCATTGACGCAAGTGCATCCGAATGGTCTTAGTGAGAATTCGTATTGAAATGGGAATGGGAATGGGAAGGAAGTGGGAAGTAAGAATTCACATCCCATTGCTGATTCTTCACGCAGCAACGCTGTGACATCCCACTTAGATTAAGTTTACGAGGTAGATCTCTTCAGGAAGACCGTCATCATTGCTTTTTGTCAGTGGCTAGGACCGCCGGAAGATGCAGCAGTAATAGCGGCGGCTAAGGCTAGAAGCCTTATCTTCCGTATTGCCATGTTCTCTGAAACTGGTTAACGGGGTAGAAGGGCCGGTATGATCAGTTGCTAGCAAATCTGGATCTCCCATGACGCAAAAGAGCATCTTGCCGAATATTCCAGCAGGGAATTCTTTAGATTCTCAACAGTTTGGCACGTGTACTGCTACAACTACCTAATCAACAAAGCGAACCAAGTTTCACTACTCTGCAATCTAGAAAGCAACGGCCCCTCAGTCTCCACGTAAGGCTGAAAAGTTTTCTAGTCGGTTTGTTGTTCTTCATCCAATAAGTTGACTCAGTTCATATGCTCGCATTTGGAATGCTTCGAGGGTTCGATTCGGCGCGCACAGGACTCCAGAGATCGTCGTAGACCTGACTTTCGCTTGACCCTTTGATCCAGATGGAGAGCATTTCTGATGAGCCTGGTCCGCTTGGTTAGATTCATGAAGCAGGTGAAATAACCAGGAATCAAGTCATACGTGGTGAATGAGGCATGGCTAGGCTCTCAGTTGTCTTGGGAGCATCATTTGATGATGATGTCTCGGTGGAGTTCTTCTCATCGGAGGGCATCTTTCGAATTACTCAATAGCGGAGGATGATATGAGGTGTAACTTTGGCTGCACTTAACAGATCTCACCATTGAAAGCTGCCGACATTTACAAGCGAACAGCATGATGATGCTTTGACGCGGCGAACCAGACACCTCTTATGCAAGCGATGACACCATATTATTTCTCCCCCGAAGATACCAATATGATAATCTATTGAAAGAAAGGAACTTTGGGGAGCCGCAGAATCAGAATCTCTAGGCAAGGCTGTGATGGCATGCAACTCCTACGCACCGAAGTTTCGGCCAAAGAGTAGGCCAAGGTGGCCGCAGGAGAGGATTCCTAGGAAACCTATGGTACAGAACTGTCTTAGCAAAGAAAAAGCCCCAAATTCCTGCCGGGAGGAACGCGCCAAGCGGCAATATCGTGAACGAAAAGGACTTTGGAGAACCGTGCATGCTTTTGTTTAAACAACCACAATGCACTCAAGCCTTGCCGGGAAATGGGCGAAGGGTCAATAACACTGCGGCCATATGGATCTACCACCCGTATTTAAGCCCTTCCTACGGAGGCATGATGTTCAAGTAATGTGGCTTGTCACGACGGGACTTTGGTATACACAGATAGAAATGTTTTGGGGGGCATGCGGTATGTCTGCATCCTATTGTGGCAACATTTAAGCTAGCCTGCAGCATCGATATGTAATTAGTATTTCGGGATGCCCAAGTGTTACACAATGCTGCCACAACCTAGGTAGCACCAAGAGACTAAGACGATTATGCCAGTGCTCGCCTACAGGAGGTCAGGATAACGCACGGAATTTGGTTGGCGTGTAGCATTGCCAGATAGCCTCAGTCCGTCGATTGTGTCTGCTTTCGTCGAAGATTGGGGCATAGAATTGCCTGCAGCACTTATCAAAGAGCTTCAGATGTCAACGATTCAACTTGAAATGCAAGACTATTGTCCAATTCATGTAATGTTGAGACTGATTTTGGTTCTGATCCGGCGAAACGTACGCCGAGGCCTTCTCATAGAGCCGGTATGGCACATCCTTCCCGGTTTCGTACGTGTTGCTTTTGAAGACCGACCGAAACTTTTGTATTTTTCCTCTATATGTACCCACCAAAAAAGTTTATGGCACCTCCAGTCTCATCAAGCTGATTACCACTTCGGCGAGATTGGTTCAGTTTTCTGGTAACCATCGACGCTACTGAGCGCGGAGGTTTGGCTAACTGCCAAATCATCATTCCGCGTTTCCCACGTGCGCCCGCCTGTAGGTTCATATCATGGCCTGTCGTGAGCCATCTTTTCATTCTCATCACTCATTCACTCGTCATCCTCTTCAGCCACCTCTTCCTCATCCTGCTTGAAAACAGCCTTCTCTGCCAATGCCAATGTCTGTCTCACAGGCAGGCCAACTACATTATCGAAGTTACCCTCAATCTTCTCCACGAGCACCAATCCTCCTATTCCCTGAATACCGTAACCACCAGCCTTGTCAGCCCCCTCTCTCGTCTTGACGTACGCATCAATGACATCATCCGGCAGACCGTTATCTTCCTGTGCAAAGTACACCTTCGTCTCCTCGGTATGTGTCGCAATCTCGTAGCCGGGCGACCGCGCGTCCTCCCTCGGGGCAATCACGCACACGGCCGTCAGCACGCGGTGCAGTCTCGTATCACGCAGATGGCGCAGCATCTTGATGTGTTCGGCCTCGCTGCGGGGCTTCTCCAAGACGCGGCCGTCGCGGGTGACGATGATGGTGTCGGCGGCAATCACGACGTCCGGGTCGGGGATCGATGCCAGGTGCGTCTGCAGAGCCGTCTCGTACACGTCGAGGGCCTTTTGTCGCGCCGTGGCGGCGACGTACTCATAGGGGCCGTACGCGGACTTGTCGAGGTCCTCGGGCTTCGTGGAGGGTGTGATTTCGAGGTTCGTGAGGCCGACCTGCGCGAGCAGCTGGCGGCGTCGCGGAGAGGCGGAGGCGAGGACCACACGCTTGGATTTGAGGTAAGTGATGATTGGGAGGTTGAGTGGCAGCGGCGCGCGGGGGCCGGGACCGGGACCGCCGGCTGGTGGTGGTGGCCGGGCGGCGGCACCGGCTGGGAGACCGTGTTCGGTCGAGCCTTTTGAGTAATCCGGTGGGGGGTCGGAGAGGAGAGAGGTCTTGACGTCGTCTGACATGTTGGAGGAGGGACGTCTGTGCGGAGATTTGGGGGGAACAGGAAGATACCGAGGGACTGTTGGATGGTAAGGTAGGTCGCAGCTGAGAATGTCTCCGTGTCTCGAAGCTTGTCAATGGCAAGGGGGAAAAAGCACAGCTATCGGAAAGAGAGGAGGTTTGTCGGAATTGTGGGGTGGGATTTCTTGATTCCCAGATTCTGGACGGGCAATGACACACCGGAGGCGCTCATTGGAAGGCACGCCGTCACCGCCCAGACGCTGTACCCACGGCCACGACTTCGACATGCCAACCCCGCCAGATCCACTTTCTCTTATCTTATCAGCCGTCATGCCTAATGGCGAAGGGGCGCTCAGCTGCCGCCGTGCCAGCCCTGCCTGGCGCGGAAACAAACGTGCTGCAGGAACTAAGTTGACAGGGGGGCTGCAAGTCCGACAATGCGCAAGGGGGGAAGGGGACTCAGATCTCATAAGACACCCGGGTCTTCTTGCTGGCGCAAAACGTAAACGCATGTGATCGTTGAAACACACACTACTGCCTACCTCACTACCTCAACTGCCTTCGCGGTCCCTCCCGGGCAGATTCGACGACACACCATCCCCCATGAATCTGCACGACGTAATCGAGACCTTTTTGCGCTGTTAGTCGATTCGTCTCTTTCATCGCCTGCCTGCGCGCGTCATGTCCTCGCCCAACAAGTCCAATTCTCCGTCAGGAGCCGCTGATGGCGACCAGCCTGAGGAGAAGCCTCGCCTGACCGAGGCCGAGAAGAAGCAGAACCACATCGCATCTGGTAAGGAGTCCCTCCCCAATCCTGTCATTTCAATTCGTACAGAACGCAACCACCCGTGCAGAGCTGCAAACTCAGGACGGGGACGCTCTCATGGCGTGAAACTCATATTCTTACATTCTACGAACAGAGCAGAAGCGACGCCAGGCGATCAGGGAGGGCTTTGACAGGTTGACGGAATTGGTCCCGGGCCTCGAGGGCCAGGGGCGCTCGGAGGGATTGGTTCTGAAGAGGACCGTCGAGTTCATGCGCGATCAACTCGCGGAACGGCGGGCCATGGTTGAGCGCCTCGAGAACAGTGGCGTGGAGGTGGACGAGAAATTCAAGCGCTGAATCAGTCAGTCAGCCCAAGTAGCGTCCCATCTCGTTATTCCACGTGTGCTAATGCGATTACAGTGCATTGATTAAATAGTCTGGCAAACGGGGTTTTGCGGCGTTCGACATAATGATGCGCTAACGTGCCAAGCATCAATTTTTGACAACATTGAAGGTCGGAGATGGAGACGAGTAGTAAGAGCAGGTTTATGGCGCGATCATCGGAAATGATTAATGAAGGAGGGTTTCATGCTGTGAATTCATTGGCATCATAGCATCATGACTTTTAATTCCCAATGCCAAGCCAACCTCATCGAAGGGGTTGTATATTGTACACGTTTTTACACAGTTGTGAGTCTATTGGTATGTCGCCGCCATTTCTTTCATCTTTTCAAGCAGATCACCGGGAGTCATGTTGGCCTTTCCCTTGTAGCCGGCCCCCCGGTCGCTCACGGCAACTGTTCCGCTCTCGACGTCCTTGGGGCCCACCACAACGCAGAGACTGTATTGCTTGCTCTGCGCCTCTGCAACCTTCTTCGACAGCGGCCGCTTGCTGGCATCAATTTCAACTGCGAAGCCGGTCGGCTGCGGCTGCCTTGCCCTATCATGACTATGGCCCGTCAGGACGTTCTTGACTTCCGAAGCCCATTGCAAGACAGGCTTCGTGTCGTTGAGGCACAAGATTGCAACCTGGCGTGGGTTCAACCAGAAAGGCCACTTGCCCTTGTACTCCTCGATCAAAAGCGCCATCAGACGCTCAACGGATCCCAAGATGGCGCGGTGAATCAGTACGGGCGTCACCACGCCGTTCTGCTCCAGCTCTGCCGCGTCAACTTCCTCCAATGGCACGCCCTGAGTCTCTTGTTTTGGCGCGGGTGCGCTATACTCAAGCTCGAATCTTTGAGGGAGTTGGAAGTCGAGCTGAATGGTGCCAGCCTGGTGAGACTTCCCGTCAGAGTCACGCAACATGACGTCGATCTTTGGACCGTAGAATGCGCCGTCTCCCTCCTTGATCGTGTACTTCAGCCCAGCCTGCTCAAGAGCATCGCGCAGCTGCGCCTCTGCGCGCTCCCATTCCGCATCGGTGCCGATGTAATGATCCGCCGGCCTGGTAGACAGCGCAAAATCAAAGTAATCCAAGCCCAGGGCCCCGTATACAGTCTTCATGAAGTCGAGCGTCTTGAAGACCTCTTCCCTGATTTGGATCGGTCGGCAGAAGATGTGGCCATCGTCCTGGTGGAAACGTCGCACGCGCGTCAGGCCACTGAGGGCGCCCGAGACCTCGTTCCGGTGCAAAGGACTGAAGTCGGCGTAACGAATGGGAAGATCGCGGTAGCTGCGGTTCTTCGAGGCGAAGATGAGGCAATGCCCAGGGCAGTTCATAGGCTTGAGGCCATAGTCTTGGTCCTCGCCCTCCGCCAGTCGACTCTCAGCACCTTTGCCCTCTTGGGGGGTCTCTCTATCACCACAGCAGCTCGTTGCCGCAGCCTCGGCGGCGCGCGCACGGCTGGTGACGGTATACATGTCGTCGGCATAGTTTTGCAGGTGGCCTGACACCTCCCAGAGGGACTTTTTGTAGATGTTCGGTGTGATGACCTCGTCGAAGCCGTAGTGGGTGTACTGCCGTCGCAAAAAGTCCACCAGGCGATTGAAGACTCGCGTGCCGTTGGGGAGGAAGATTGGGGACCCGGGGCTGTAGACGGACGTGGTGAACAGCTCCTGCTGGACGCCCAGCTTGCGATGGTCGTACTCGTCGGGGCTATCCGCGGGCGCGGCGGGTTTCTTGTCGGAGTACCATCTCTTTGGTAGCGGTTGAGGTCTCAGTGATGCATTTCGCAGACTCGGGATCACTCGAAGAGCTGGTCGAATTGCCCGTGCGGGAAGCATGGCGCAAAGTGTCGCCAATTGAACGTCATGCCATTTGACACAGGAAAGTCTGAAAGCTCGCGAAATTGTGATGCTAGGATCTTGCAGCTCCGTCACACAAGCACGCTAGCGTCGAAATTCCCACAGGGAGCGGCACGGACCATTTCGTCGCTTATCTTATCAGTATTCGGGACGGGGCCATTGTCCTGAACTCCCATGTCACCACCCTCATCTTGCAAGCAGCAAGCCTTGTTTAGACGCACATCTCACCGTTGAATCTTTTGCATATTTGGTAAATGGGATTTCGAAAGATCTCGTCAACGTCTTTTCGATCTGAAGTCGAAATTCCAGGGGAGTTAGGGGAGTTTAGGATCCACAGTCCGACTGTGTCAGTCGCTCTTACGGTCGGGGAGTTAGGGGACCATTGCCGGGAGAACATGCAGCGCTGGATCTGAGTATCAGTCAAGCATCAACTGCCCCGAATCAGTCAGTTCCAATTTCAACGACAGCCAGGAAAGCTATGGCGTGGTTGGTTTCGATTAGAAGGTCATTGGCAGAAAGTGGCTATGCTGAAGGGGAACTCGAGACAACAAGCTTCGGAGCTAAGCGTCCGACCCACTCAACGGCGGACTATTGGCATACCTTGTTGTCTGAGAAGCGCGCACACTGAGCCCTCAACGGCCATCGGCTTGGAACCTCGGCAACTTGAGGCTGTCTGCTTGTTAGAGCCAACCACATCTCGTGGCGATTGGTACAGCTTGCAGCAATCGATCGGCTGTGTGACATGACCCAGAGCTTGATTTTGATAGTGTAATTGCTGAAGAATCCCCCGCAGATCTTTGTCAGCCAAAGATGCAGGTTCAACCGTTGATCTTAAGGATCGTCGTGTGTCAACCCAAAGCGGGAATGTTGATTAAACTAGTCAACCGATAGTCTTGGTAGAAAAGAGGAGCGTTGAGGCGACGAGCCACGTGTTGGCACCCATGAGCTAGCACAGCGGAAACTTCACGGCGATACGTCTAGAGCAGATGATGATACGCCAATTTTGAAAATTTCAACTCTAGGAGTGTAATTATTATTCTATTTTCGCTGTGGAAGAAACCTAGTTACGGTAGGTGATCGTCTTCGTCCTCACCCACTCGTCCAAACCTATCGAGTTGAATCTACCAAAACCGCTAGACTTGACTCCGCCGTGGGGCAGGCCGCTCTCGTCGTGGACAGTCATGTTATTGATGTGAACAGCGCCGGACTCAATCTCCTTGGCAAAGCGAAGTCCGGTCCGCAGGTTCTCGGTAAAGACGGCAGATGTCAGACCGTACTCGGTGTCATTGGCAATCTTCAGCGCCTCCTCCTCGGTGTCAACCTCGAAAAGTGACACTGAAGGCCCGAAAGACTCGGTCTTGTAAATGTCCATCTCAGTGTTGACGTTTTTGATGACGATGGGACGCATCCTCGTCTTGGATACTTCCTCTGCCTCGACATTGCCAGCAACGACGGCAGCGCCTTTGCCAACGGCGTCCTTGATGAGCTTCTTGTTCTTCTCGACGGCAAGCTGGTTGATGAGCACAGGCGCGTCAGCCTCTGATGAGAAAATCTTGCTGATAGACTCGGAGAGCTTGGCCTGGAACTGCTCGGAGACCTTCTTGTGCACAATGATGCGTTCTGTGCTCATGCAGATCTGACCTCCGTGAAGGAATGAACCAACGGCGCATTGGCCGGCAGCGAGGTCGAGGTCGGCATCCTCCCACACGATAGCCGGGGCCTTGCCGCCGAGTTCGAGTAGTACGGGCTTCAAGTGCTCTCCGGCCTGCTTAGCAATGATGCGGCCAACGTTGGTGCTGCCGGTGAAGTTGATCTTCTTGATTTCGGGGTGCGCGATCAGTGACGAGGTGATGACTGCGGCGTTGGCGGGCTCGTGAACAATGACGTTCAGGACACCCTTGGGCAGACCGGCTTGGTGAAGGCAGTCGGCCATTTCGTACATTACACGCGGGGAAAGCTCTGAAGCTTTGAAGACGGCGGTGTTTCCGGCAGCGATTGGGAACGCAATCGCTCTCGCGCCCAAGACGTAGGGCGCATTCCTGCCAGCGGGGTTAGCTGATACGTCACTCATGCCGCGATAAGGATGGCATACCAAGGCGCAATAGCAAGCACAACACCATAGGGTTCCTTCAGAACCATAGCGCTCACGTCTGGATCTCTGGTTGCGGGGACAGTGCCCTCAACGGTCACAAGACGTCCGGCGACGTCTCTGAAGCAGCCAATACCGAGGCCGAGGATGAAATCAGACCAGCCCTTGGCAGCGCCAGTCTCGTCGCACATGATTTTCGACAACTCCTCCTTGCGGCCATCCATGATATCGGCAGCCTTCAGGAAGATGTCTCTGCGCTCGTTGGGTGTCGTCTTGCGCCAGCTCTTGAAAGCCTTTGCGGCAGAGTCAACCGCTGCGATGGCATCCTTCTCAGTGGCACTTCCGCACTTGTGAACAGCTTTTCCGGTAGCGGGAGACACTACTTCGAAAGTCTTTTCAGGATAGACCTTCTCTCCGTCGATGAGGAAAGGGACGGTAAAGCCTCCCGAGCCATTGGTTGTGTTCGTCATGGCTGAACTTTAATTGTGAGGTATGTCGACGGAGAGGCGGAAGAGGGTTGAAGATGATTTTGAGAAGGAGTGAGATAGTAAATGTGACAGAATTCCTTTGCAAAGCTACACGAGTGAGGAGTTCAGCCTGATTCTTATAGAGCTCTCCGAACTAGCCACTGATCGACATGGAACACTTTGGGTGCCCTTTGGACCCTTGCCCTTTCGACATGCCGAAGTTCGAAGCCACGCCTAGTGCACGGAACCCCGCACTCGGAAAGTGGGCACGGCGAGAAACTCTGAGACTGCCTAGCCAGGTGCTTCTGACTTCGCATTCCTAAAAGGACCGTCATTACCAATTTGTTTCCGAATCCTTCAGCACAGTTGGGCGATTCCCCCGGGCGCATCCCAGCCGGGTGTGGGATCGGGGGGAGGTACGGACAGGGACCCGGAGTGGATCCGTCGATTTTGTGTGACCAGTTGGTTCGCATCGCCGGCCGGAAGCCCGCGTACGTATCCGTCTGTGTGCTGTGCCGCTGTTGGAGGGGCCCATCAAACAGATTCCTTGTCCAGGACCGACATTTCTGCAGCGTATGCGCAGCTGAAACTCTGCAGTGCCCCTAGCGACGGTTGTAATAATTGCTCGTCCAATCATCGACTGAAGGTGGTCAGAGATAATTGAATTATCAATGGGTGGCGCGATCTCCCCGAGATGCTCGTCCGCAACGACGCAAATGTCCCAATTCCAACTGCTTGGCACCGGCGTCTTGTTTCCTTGTGAGTGGGTCCTTTTGAAGTATTTAGGAGTTAAGCCGGAAGCAACCGAGGGCCAGTGGAAGGTCGGATTCCGAGTCGCCCTTGGGGACACAATGCCCGCGCGATTGAGTCGCGGGACCACCCTGCTGCCTCCGAGTTTTCGGCGAGGGTCACCACGACATGGATTTTGCATCCATGAAACCATGTCCGCATTTTGGTGTTATGAGGGTAAATCGACCCTGGCACGGCGAGAATAAGAATGAGACTGTCGCGAAGTGAGACCTGTCCCTGCGACCGCTTGATACGCGGGTCGTATCGCAAATGCATTCGATAGTCACACAGTCGAGCGTTGATTCGGCATGGCAGCGGCGCTTTGTGTAGCTCAAGGCCACATTCGCCCACGAGATGCTGTGGCGTCAATATCAAGTGACAAGAAAGAAGGGTCTCCATTTGCCCTTTGTACGATGCCGAATGGCTACAGGTAACTTTGTCCTCATGCGGGAAGCGCGGTTGCACTTTTGGGCAATGAAAAGCCGGATTAAGACTGTTGCGACTTTTTGAGCACTGTTGGGTCAAGAAAAGGCTGAGGCACTGCTGTCGTATCTACTTGAATAACCTCAACTGCAGCCGTTAGCTTTGGTTTTCGTTTCTCGCCTGCAACAGTAGCACCTCACCTGGCTTCCGTCGGGATGCAGATCCAGGGACGGCAAAATGCACGTCACGGGTTCCTCTGCGAGCTTCCGTGTATGACCCGCTTCCTTGGTAAACTGGTGGCAGTGCAAGTTCGACTTTCTTCGGGGTCTTCCCTGCCTGCTTTCCGGCTTGCTCGGACATGATGTTTGGATTATGGCACTTTCAATGCTCAGGCTGGGAGGCGGGGAAGGAGAGATGAGGATGGTGCAGAGCAGTCCCAGGCTGTCGGTATTGCTGACGAAGAAATCTAGCGAAGGTTTGAGCTGGGAAAAAGCAGCCACGAGTCAGATCTCGGAGGGGATTCAGGGTCGAACAAAGCCGTTCGTCTGATGGGATTGTCTGCTCAAGAGTTCTAGCTACCTTGATGCATAGCTCCATCGTCCAATACCACTGGCGGGCTGCGAGTGTGGGCCCATCTGTGAGTGCTTAGTCACCGGCCCCATTATTTCCGACCGCAACTGCACTTTTCGACCAGTCAATTCCAAGAATCGCGCTGCCAGACAGGACAAGTGCACTGTGGACATGCGAATTGACACCCGCAGTTTCCACTTTTGGTTTCTGTGCTGTCACAGATGGAGCGCTTACGCTTGGCACCAGAGCAGGAACCAGCGGAGTCGTGGAACTCTTCTCCAGCTGCATTACGCGGTAAAGGCCGGGCAGGGTGGATATCTGGAGGGATGGGATAACGATATCGGAGGGCGAAGTCGGTCTCAATGGACGTAATGACGTCTCTGGCTATCGATGCTTATCCTTTTTGCCCGCGAGTTCCTGGGCGTGTCATACATGTCTGTGCACTGGCTTCCAGCCACGAGCAGCGGTGGCAGGTGCCCAAGTGTACCTTATCTCGGTGAGAATCGGGTGCTAATCCTCCGACGGACACCATGCCGTTTGGGGAAGCTGACAGGTGCGAACGGCTTCCATACAGTGTACTGGTTCTCGACCCCGCCCGCTGCAGAAAGCTGCAAGCGGGGAAGCGAGGACTCAGCAGCCCAATCCAGCCAATCACGAACCGCGTACCAGCCAACCGCTCTCCATCAGCGCCCCCAAAGAGAGCCTTCCAACGGCCAAAAAGAAACAGCGAGTGGGAGTCAGACGCACCCCCATGGCCCCCAAGTCCCTTCCTTATCCACCGGGCCACCGCAAATCTCTTGCCTCGCTCTTCAGGTCAAAATTGTAAACTTCCCCGCCCTCCGCATTCGGCCACACCAGCTCCCACCTCACATCAACAATTCAACACACTCGTCGCGACACCGGACCGCCGCCCCAGTGAGCTTGAGCCCAGCTCACCATTCGAGAGATCTCCGATTGCCGAGTCGTTCCTGCGACCTCCGTTCGCACCTCACGCCACGCCCGGCCCGGGAGGGGTCCCCCAATCCCGCCTGTGCTGTGTCTGTGTCTTGTCTTGTCTCAGCGCGACCGACCCTCCGCCCTCCGGTGCCCTGCATGGACGGTCCGGCCATAATATCTGCCGGCGGGGCCACGCCCGTATCGCCCACAAGCCCCGTGAGCGCAAGGCATGCGAATAACGGTCCTCCTAAGCGGAAGCGTAGCAGCATGGCCCTCGATAGTAGTCCCGGTAGCAATGCTGGGAACGACGACCACGACGGCGAGCCTGACTCAAAGAAGCGCCAGCCAGGTGTTAAGCGCGCCTGCAACGAGTGCCGCCAGCAGAAGGTGAGTCACCCACAGCATCACAACAGCGGAAAGAGTCACGTAGCTAACGAGACGCCAATTGGAACAGTTACGATGCGACGTCGTACAAGATCCCTTCCAAAGTTGCTCAAGGTGTAATCGTCTCAAGCTCGAGTGCAAGATCGAGTCAAACTTCAAGCGCATTGGAAAGCGTAGTAAACATGCCGAGATGGAGAAGGAGATCGAGAGGTTGCGCCGCAACATCGCACGCGCCCAAAACCAGGGCTACACCGTTGAGGACGACCAGGAGGACCTCCAGTCCCCCATTGCGCAGAGCGTCTACACACACACCCGGAACCCGTCCCTCATGGGTTCCGACGAAGCTGTCTCCTCACTGTTACATCTGAAAAGAGGAGGATCGTACAGCTTACCACGATACACTCACGAGCTGGAAAACGTGCGTTTGACCGAAGACTCGGTCAACCAGCTCTTCCACGAGTTCTTCGCATATTATCATCCGTTTCTACCATTTCTCAGCCCGACGCAGTCGCCCGATCAATACTTTCAGCAGCACTCCCTGCTCTTCTGGTCTATCATCTCGGTCGCAGCCCGCAGATACAGCGCAGATACACACCTATTAACGTCAATATCTGGCCCTCTGACGCGGCTGTTGTGGTCCACTATTGGCGACGTGCCCAGCAGCTATTTCGTCGTCAAGGCTCTCTGCCTGCTGTGCACGTGGCCCCTTCCCACGAGTACAACCAGCGCTGACCCTACGCATATCCTGTGTGGTGTCATGATGAAGGTCGCGACGGGCATTGGTCTTCACAGGCCAAACCACAGCCAAGACTTCTCTCGCGTGTCTGTGGATCTCAACAAGGAGCAGCTTCATGACCGCGTCCAGACCTGGGCCGTCTGCAACATTGTCGCTCAAAGCATAGGTACTGGCTACGGCCAGCCTGCTTCGACCCTCTACGATTGGACCTTGGCCGTTCGACGGGGTGAGGACGGGCCATTCCGACTGACCCCTGAACTCGAGGCCAGGCTTCAAGTCGAGAGATTTTGTGACAAGGTCTCAAAAGAGATGTACAGCAATGCCAGTGATCCGAGAGGAGTTGCCGGGGACGAGCATCGAGCCATGTTGATGAGAGTTTACCGTAAGGACTTTAACGAACTGCAAGCTTCGATCCTCTCCCAGCATCTGGGTCCTATCGTCAACTTGCACATGAGAGCTGCTGCTCTTCACTTGCGGTTGGCTGGCTTTTTCGACTCTAGCACAACTCCTGGATACATCGATGACTTGATGGGTCTCTGGAGAGCAACGACAAGTTTTCTCGACAATATCCTAGAGGTTGACAAGGTCACATCGCCTGGGCAAAACTCACCTGGGCAGATTCTGCTCTATGCAACAAACTACATCCAGCAGATGCTGATTGCGGCCGGCTTCGCTCTCCTGAAGCTCATGCGGTCCTTCTTTTCGAAGACGATCGACTTTGACCGGGGGCGCAACCTGTTCCACCAGACCATCAACGCCATTCGCGCGACAAGCGTCGTGAACAATGATCTTCAGTGGCGCCTCGCCGAGCTGATGGTGCAAATGTGGAATGGAGCCCGACTCGACAACAACCAATCCTTCGACAATGATGATTCTCCGCTTCTCATTGACGATACACTGCAGCTCAAGGTGCGATGTCGCCATAGCATGAGTCTCGTTTTTGACTCCGTCTGGAGATGGAGAGAAGAGTATCAGGCCCAAGGTAGAGGGTCACTCGATGGTAAAACCCCCAGCCCCTTCTCCCCTTTTGCGCCCTAGCCATTGCATCCAGGTCTCTGCTTCGGTGTGACTGTGATGACTGACTTACGTGCCACCCCAAATAGCCCTGAAGCAGCCTACTAATCCAGACTCAGCGAACGAGTCCTCGGCGTCATCGACCCATTTGGACAGCACTCTTATGCCGGCAACCCAAGGACTGCAAGCGAACAGCATGCTCGCTTCCAATGGAGCCCTCACCCCAGGAGCCTCTGGTGGACTCGGAAACCAGTCAACGAACAACATGCTGGGCGGCATGAGCTACGGCGAGTCGAATTACGACTTCTTCGATCCGCAACACTGGATGCTGGACGGCCTCCTGGACTTCAGCTATAACTTTGTGCAGCCTGTCGAGGGCGCCTAGGATGTCCTCATTTGAAATCAGTATATTTCATATGCACACGTCGTTCGTCAACGCAATCATAAGGCTCGTGGGGCAAAAGGAGAACGCCCGCAGGTTGGGGGCGATGTTTCAAAGCTGTACACAGCTTGAAATCGCAGCTTGTCAAACCGGGGTGAGTAAACGCCCCTTGGCAGACGTTGCGATGGGCCCCCTCTTGGGGTCCGGGGATACAGTGACTAGGTGTGCAGCTCTCGGCGATCCTTCCGCACTCCTAGGTGAGCGATGTCGTCGTTTCACGATGATTATACCCCCCCGAACATACATCATTGGTGCCCAAAGGCACGTATTTTTCCTGTTACGCTATTTGCCTGCCACAGCTGCCGGTGCCCCAGAATGGAAACCATTCTCTACCCAAGTTCGGCGTCATGCGTCTGTTGTTTCGTTGTTTGGTATGTCACTGTTGGAGGTGACAATATAATCACGTATGGTCGACGAATGATCCCCACGACATGATGAGTCGACGTCGGGTTGCGGCTTCTCTGCGGGCGGTCGTTATTGTTTTGTACGTTTCATCGTTTTCTTTACTTTCCTCGAGTCCTCTCTCAGGGAGGTCACAGTGTATTCGTTTTCGTTTCTTTCTGGGAACCATCGAGGCATCAGCAACGGCGGGAGCAGGGCTTTTTTTCCCCATGGGTACACACTTGATTCGTCACACAAGATGTAGTTAGCTGTAGCGTTATTGAATTCCACAATGTTTAATTCAAAGTCGTTCCAACCTACCTGGACCAATTCCACCAAGGGACTAGTTGCTTAGTGTTCTGTGTGGGAGATGAGGGTGAAACATGGCTGGGTCACCCAACGGTTAACCCAACGACACCGCACCCGTGACGTGAGTCAAAGGGGGAGGGACGGTTGCCGCATTCGCGTGACGACGGATCAGAGTGAAGGGATCGGTGAAGTGAAGGGAGACGCGAGGTCCGCGGCGGTGACTCAAGTCATGACTGACAGTATCCCCAACGACATGTTGGTGTTTGGTGCCTGTCAAAGACATCCTCGCCGACTGAGTGAGTCCAAAGGCATCAACTAGTCACACCGAGCTATGGACATGCTGACTCGACTGTTGCCGGAAGGGCGCGGCAGACAATCTCACCTAGGGGGAGGGGAAATCCAACGGACGATGGTCGTGGAGTTTGTACAGATCAGAGGCCCCTTTGATAGAGGAGGAACAACGGGTCGCGATCAAGGGCGCGTGATTCGCTCGACAACGAGAGGTTTCCAAACTGCCGAGACATCACCATCACGAGATTTGCAGAATGGGTTGAACTCTATGGCTCACACCGACGTAGCAGTTGCGAAATTGGCCTCTGTGATTTGTCTCCTTGGGGAGCAAATCACCAGAGCAATGTTGCGCCCGGATCCATTCAGAGTTGTTCCAGTTTACAAACGACGGCAAGAGCAACAGCAACAACAACTACTACCAGTACGAGGCATGTGATGGTCCATGGATGTCGAGAGCTTGCGAGTTGTCCAACAACAGGAAAATAGCCGTCATCAAACGATCATTGGGCCCTGGGGGAGGTTCCTCGTTCTTCAGCTTCATTTGGCCTCATTCCGGGAAACCGGCACACTCGATTCCCATTCGCCAGGGACCGACTTGTTAGCCGGCCGCCGTGATGGGCCGCCGTAGATTTGACTCCATCACCGCTGGGCCCTCGATGAACCTCTCGCCGGCGGAGGACGGGCAAAGCAAAATCTATCGGGCAAGGCTGGACCTGGACCCATCGGTGCTGCGGCTTCGCATCACCAAGAACCAACTCCGACTCCTTGCTTCCATGTGTATGTGTACAACCTCGAGAAGTATCTCAGGTTCCCATCCTTCTCCTCCACCAACCCCCTCGTGGGGATGGATTGCTTCCCATGTCTAGAGCCGCTGCGCAGCGCTTGTTTCATCCCCGTAGACTCTCGTCACGCGAGATTGAGACCATGCGGGGTGAGGGACGGACGGCAATGGTTGGTGGGAGCTGGTGAGGAGAAGCGAGGCGAGGCAAGGCAAGTTGCTTGTACACAGCCCGGCGAGGCTGACTTTCAGTCTTCTTTTTTCGGATCGTGGAGGTAGTGCAGAGTATGGAGAGGCTCTCTCTATCTGTCTCTAGCTACGGACGTATGGTCTCACGTCGAGGGGTACGGAACGGGGCAGTGTATGGCACGTCTGCTGCTCCCCGGGGAAGAGGACGGAGGACCGGGGGGAGAGGCAATGTTGTTTCTTCGAGCGGTGTGAGGCTTCCAAGGGGGCCCGACGTCACTGCCTCGTTCGTTCGGAGCCTGTACCCAGGCTCTGTCTCCGCTCGAAAGAGGCATGCGTGGGGAGTCGAGGAGTCGAGGGGTAGTAGCTTCGATCAACGGTTGGCTATTGAGTCATCGTGGGGGCTGGGAGGAAGCTATCTGTCAGGTACACCACGGTATGGCTGGTCTTGTTCGCGACGAGGGGAGGGTGGTGAGGCTATCCGAAGCTGCTCTGATGGTTTGTTCAAACGGGCGAGACACACACATCAGGTGGACTGGTTCGCGTGCTCGAAGGCGGGAGTGGCGGCCGGGAACAACCTTAGATTGCGGGCACTGCTTCGTCTTCGTGCTATTCTCGATCGTAGTGGAGAGGAGAGGGGGCTGTGATGTTCACTTGGTGGAAGAGATCAAAATCCGAGAAGGACATAGGGTGGTTGTGTGTGGGATGTGGATGTGGATGTGGGCGTGGTCCTCGACGAGGGGCCCGAGGAAGCTTGGGGCGTGTAGGATTTTTTTTCGTCGATTCATCGTCAGAAACGTGGATTTCTCCCGCAGCAGGTTTGGTTTGTTGGGGGCCTGTTGGTCGTTTCTCGCGGTTGTTGGTTGGTTGTCGTGCCCCTTGCAAGAGACCTTCTTGTTTTTTTTTCACAGCCTCCGCCGTACTGGGGGCTCCGCCACGCTTTTTCACCAGCATCGCAGCGAATGAACTTGGAGAATAGAAATAGGGTAAGAAAAAGAGGTATATGGCAATGCCATCATGTGTGCCTCGTTCCTGCAGACGAGCTGAAGGGAGACAAACAAGCTGTGGTTTCAAAGCGACCGGCGGTACCTGCGAGTGCTTGCTGGGAGCTGGAGAAGTTGTAGAATCACAGCAGACCACGCACACAGGAAGAGACAGAAGCAAGTCAGTTCTGACGAGCGTCAGAGCTGCAGCCGGCCTATTGGGGTGCATAGGAAGGAAGGCACAGCGTTTTGCGACATAACACATGTTACTCTCGGGGAGGGTGACCATCGACTCGATTATCGGTCCCTCCGCAGCTACTACAGCAACTACTTGGCCCGACCCTTAATGAGAAGAAGCGGTTTTTTCTTCTTTCGTCTTTCAAATCGCGCTTGTCTAAAGAGTGTCGAACTTGAAGAGGTCTCCAATTGTATGCGGCCGTTTTCTCATTCGCTGCTATCCGCGACGACCGTTGAACCGGCCGAGCCGGTGGCTTTGCAGGACACTTGGCCGCAATTTCGGGCCTCTTTTGTGGCCTCCTTGTGACGGCCCGGTGGAAAACAACGTCAACGCTGCGCTCTAAGAAGACGATTTAATCTGTAAAATACGCCTTACAAGGGCGGTGCTTTTTTCCTTTGGCCTCACTCAGTGTCATCATCTTCCCGTCGAACCAAACCCTGGTGGTAAAGCTTGACATGGTCGTATGACGGAACAGCCAGGCGATCGCCGGTCCTGCTAGGAGGGGATCGGAATCGAGACTGATTCGCCAAACGTAGCCTCGAACGCATCTCAGCTTCTACACCAAGGTCGTCCATTCAGAAGTCCTGTGCAGATTAGAGTGCTGATTGATCTCCACAGAGGCGTAGCAAGCTCTTACGCCAACCAACGGCGGCTTTCGAAACAAACGAAGGAATTCGATTTACGGCCGTTACGCTACCGCCGCCGGCCCGTGGAACGGGAATGGAATCTCTACAGAGATGGCTGCAGTGTGTAAGGGGCGCCTGAAAGGCTGAAGTGCCGGAGGATTAGGATCGCTTTCTTGCCCCTCTCCTTTTCTGATGCCACCATCACGCAGGTGGTGGCACATTCTGGGAGTTTCTTCAAGGAATTCTTGTCTCATTCTACGTTTTGGACGTCCACAGAGCTTGGCCTTTTGGGTGGGGGTTGGAATGAACTTCTTTCACCCACGGGACCGTTTTGCCACTGTTCCAAATTCGAACAAGCGGAAAACATCCTTACGGACGCAACCAGCGAGGCCTAACGCCCGCCTTTGTCCACTCGGGCTAGTCCAGCCATAGGAGCTCTCCCACGGCGTGGAAGAAGATGCGGCGTTGTAGTATTACCACGCCCCCCTTTTGGCCAGGGCTCTAGTCTATGCGATGCCCTCGCTAACAGTAGCAGGTTCTCATCACGGCTCGGCTGGATGTGTAGCCCATGATTCGTGGGTGCCAGGGATGGGTAACGGCAGTCTACGGGGACCAGCATTGCTGGAGATGGGTGATTTGCTTCTCCAAAACGTCGCTCGATTGGCCGGCAACTTCAGGAGGGCCCACGAGGAGGAGGAGGAGGCGTGCCGTTCTGAAAAGTATCTGTGTGCACAAAACTGTCCGCCAGTGCGGGAGGCTTTTTTCACCACCTACTCGAGGCAAGAGGATGGTGTGGTGAAGCCGTCCAGCCGGCGGCTGTCATTGCTGCAGGTTCTTCCAGAAAGAGCAGTCAAGTTTGTATCATTTGGCACCATTGCGCTGTAAGGGATGGCTCGCTGTGACTCGAGGGCTGTGGATGGCTGAACATCCATCGATTTGCGTGCTTCTAGCCATGAAAAGCCTGAGCCCCTGGGCAGGACTGGCCGCCTCTAGACCTGGGTGTGGATCGCTTGATACATGGAAAAGCCCAGGAGGGGAAAGAAAGTCTCGTGGCGTATCTACTCGTACTTCCGAAATGTCCTCTGAGTGCACCAGGGGCCTCTGCAAGTCCAGTCCATGTTTGGGAGGACCTTATACTTCGTTGACTGCGG